ATAAATTACATTACTATAAATTAACATTATCTATATTACTATATATATATATATATATATATATATATATATATATATATATATATATATATATATATATATATATATTTTTTTTTATTTATATAGGGTAACAGGGGGTATTAAGCCTCATTTCCTCTGTTCATATAATGAAATGGCTGGTGCTATTGTATTAAGGTTTGTATTAAGCATTAAGTTCTACATGATGGAGACTAACTAACCAGTAAGGGAAATTTTCATAAACATTCTGGGGTTTCTAATCAACTGCATTGATTTTTAATTAGAATTTATTAATGAGTGGTTTTTCCGTCCTGTTTCCAGTTTCCTTCAAACTTAATGAAAAACTTTGATAAAGGCCAGTAATTATTTGTTTTGACTTCAAATCTCCATTGAAACTTATATATTTACCGTACAAATCCAAGTACATATAAACTAAGTAAGTACTTTTTTTAAGTTTTGAACTATTTTTGCATGTTATCAATAAGTTAAAATACTGATATTTATAGATCAAATAAAGTAAAAAATTTTAGCAAAGGCAGTTGGATGAATGTCTAAAAGATTATTAATAAATAGCTTTGAAATTCACTTTAATATGAAATTTCTATTTAAAATTTTAAATGGATAGCATTTCTGAGAGAAATATGGTTCTATTGATTATTTAATAATTTAATTAAATTGTTAAAATAAATGTTTTAATTACCAGGGGTTCAATTCCCCCTGTTAATGCCAACTGTTTAAAAAGGTGATCAGAACAATCAAATACTATGATCAGATAAATAAAATTCTCATTTTAATTTTATAAATATTATATAGTTTAAATTGATATAGTTTAAATTGAAAACAGATATAGTTTAAATTGAAAAGAAAATTTTATTTATTTGTAAAAATAGTTTAAAATTTTCTTTAATTATAGTTTTGATAATGGAGCTTATTACCCCCTGTATTTAGCAGAATGGATGGAGCATGCAAAAAGAATAAGAAAATAGGCAGGAAAATCTATGCAACTAGCCGGACAATGACAGATGCCTACAATTCTGTCATATGTAAGCAGATGTCTACTAGCAAGGAATCTAAGCACTATTAAAAGTTTTTATCTTCAGCACCTGCAGAAAGACCACAGAAACCATTGTCAAATTTATTTTTAGAAAAGTCATTAAATAAAGATTTTTTTTTTTAAAGAACTGCAGCCCTGATTTGCGCAAACAATCATACAAGCACATACGATTAGTTTTGCTGTAATTTCCACTTTATGAAATCAAATTGGAATTTGTAGAGAGTAAAACCTGTGTTTTAAAATCCCAAAACGTTGCTCGATCACATTTCTAGTTTTTTGATGTGCATCATTGAACCGACGTTTGGAAACTGTTTGGTTGTTAGTGTAAGGTGTGATGAGCAAATTATTACAGGGATAGCCTTGGTCATCTAAGCTCCTGGAAAAATTTACTCACCTCAAACTTCAAAAGCGTCCCAAAGTGTTGATTAACGTAACACCTAAAATATTTGAAAAAGCAATCTAAATTTTTCAGATTAGCTAGTTATTATTGTACTAAATATTCTAAAGATGAATAGGCAGTGGAGAAAATATAATATTTTTGTAGAGTATATATAATACATTTATATATATTTGTTATATATATATATTACATTTGTTTCATAAGTTTTCACATTTTTTAAAACAAAATATTTTTTGATATTTTGACAGACCAGATTTAAATAAGAAAAAGTCTTAATATGACTTAATATGCTACACTAGTTTTTTACTTGGATGTTTATTTTTTGAAATATTGTTATTTAGATAATTGATGAATTAGCTCAAATTCATTTTTTACAAGTTCATTAAAATCTCTTCATTACTAAGCTGTTAACAATTGCCTACCTGAACATTGTTTTCTGGAAACAATTGCCTAACTGAACATTTGTCTGCTGGAAATTGACCTTTCCAACTATTGTCCAATTAGTTTTCTTCCTCTTATTAGCAAAGTCTATGAATCTTTAATTACAAACTTCCAATATCTTATTTAAAGTCTAAAAATGAAAAAAAATAATGTTTCAATTTGCAATGTTTTGTCTAATTTTTTTTCTTTTTTTAAATTGTAACCAATTGAGATGTAACATAACCTAAACATATTGTATCATATATAGATATCTAATTAAGAAAAAATATCATAAAATTAGAAGATACCACAGGTTACAATGTTATGTCTCATTAGGTCAAAATGTTACATATCTTTATGTAATATGTTACATCTTGGTTATGTAAAATCCTAACTTCAGGTTAATAAAATGCTAAGTTTCAGGCCTGCAAATACTTAAAATCATTTTACATTATGTTCCTTAATTATTTGACAAGGACATAATAATCCTGCAGGATTTTTAAATTGTGTACAGTTTTTATTGTGTACTTAATCGAAATTACCAATTGTTTCATGTTTCGCAAAATATTACATGTTAATTATAAAAAATTATAAAATTTGTATAATTTACTATTTTTATAATGCAATGAAATTATTTTTTTTTAAAGGAAGAATTAAAAGTCTTGGTAAATACTGTTGAGCCTGTGACTGATGTGAACCTTGTGACTGATCAAACAGATATTCTACTAACCTCTGAATTATCTAACAATGTCTTAGACACACTATCTCAATCCAGCTATTTATCAAATAAAAGTTTAACACCTGAAAAAAATGACAGTATTATGCTAGAAGACCGAGAAAATAATCATGATCATGAAGGGTTTGAAGAAATTAAAAGTATACCAATAAAGAATTTATTTTATTTTGTCCAATATGTTTTAATTTATAATATATAAATTTATAAGGTTATATTTAAATTTAATAAATTTTTTAAAATAAATTTAGTGTAATGTTAGCTTAAAGCTAATGTCATTTAAGTTAAATTTAACTTATTACATTGTGTAATAAAAAGTATTGATAGCATTAAAATAACCAGACCAATTTTATTATAAAAATGAATTAAAAATTATGAAAAGCAATATTAATAGTTGTGATAATTGTAAAGAATATTGTTCTTAGGAATTTTAGACAAAAAAATTTAATTTTTGAATTAATAACCGCAGTATGATAATGTGGTTGGCATCCTGAAACTAATAACATGGTTGGCATCCTGAGACTTTTTTTTTTTTTTCAGAATAAAAATTTTTGGTGAGAGTGAAATTTTTTTTTTTTAAGAACAATTTTTAAAAGAATGAAACTAGTATAAATATAAATAGTTAAAATAGTATACATAAAGTATTATAAAAATTAGATTAACTCAAAAAACTTTTAAATTGTTTTTGTTATGGCTCTATAACTCAGCTAGTATGTCAAATTAAATGTTAAAACCCAGACTTTTTGGCTATACTAGTTCAAATGTGACCACTACCAACTCATGGCATGAGAAGTACTTAGTTATGCAAAAATGTTGGTAATTTACAGATGCTACTTTAGGTTAGTCTGTGACTATTTGTGGCTGTTCCTATGTGTGAAATTCAAATAATAAATAAAAATTTCATGTGTTTAAATAATATAGTAGTAAAATCAGATCAAAATAAATTAATAAAATTTTTTTTTTTGTTTACTATCATAAAATCTGATGCTTTTATAATAGTAAACAAAAAAAAAACTATAACATCAACTCAAATATAATTTTTAGAATATGAAAATCGTTAGTGCCTAAAATAAGAATATTTATATTTTAAAAATTATAACTAAAATATAATATTTATACCTATATATAATATCAAATCAAAATATAGTATAAAAAATTTTTTTTTTTAATATAAAGCACATTAAAAAATGCTATTAATAAATCATAAAACTCTTTATTACATTTTTAATCATTATTTTTATAAATATTAAACGGGATAAAATTAAACAAAATTTTTATACTCTAATTCATTTATGCTACTAAGCCAATGAAAAGTATGACAATGTCTAAAATTTTATTGTTTTTTAAATTATTCAAGTAATCAGTTACAAATAATATATAACAGTCATTAAATGGTTTCTTGAGGGTTTATGGTTCACAAAATTAAAATTAACAAGAGATGTGCACTGCACCAATAAGCTAAAATTAGGCCAGAAAGTCATGCAATTTGTCTAGAAATTTAAGATTCCACATGCTTTTCAACTGTTTGCAATACGTATTGTCTCTTTTGTAATTTTTCCAATAGGTATTGTATTTCATCTTTTGTAATTGTTCCAACAAAGTCTATGATTAGGGCTCTTTTAGCCCAGGCTTGGACAAGAATGGCGTGTGTGTATTTTGTTGATTAATGGAAAAGTTTTGAAGCAATTAGTTTTAATTAATTTTATTTAAATTGCAGGCGCATTTTATTTATTATTTTTTTTTTTCCATTTTTACAAATAAAAAAAAGTTGAAAACCTTTTTCTTAACTAGACTTTCTAATTAGTGCATGAAGTTATTAAAAATTATTATTATAAAAAGACTACATTACTTAAAAAAAATTTTTTTTTGCAACTTTTTTTAACAAAATGTTTATACAATTTAAAAATATTATAATAATATAACTAATAACTTTAATCAAACATTTAAAAAGATAAGTTTTAATAACTTTTATTTCAATTGTAATTAAAAACATAACAAAAAGTTTCGCTTTGTTTGTTTCGAGTTTGTTTATATTTTTACTTTGGTACTTATATAATTTCTTTTTCATAAATAATTTTTTTTTCATTGCTTTTCTTTGTTTGAAGTTTTTTTTTGATAGTTTTTTTTTTAAACTTTTTTCTAGTATAAGTTTAGCGTTTATACATTTAGCGCATTTCTGAAATGTTTCAATCATCAAAACATATAAACAATTGTGGTCATGTTGTCAAAAAATAAAATCATTTGCGTGGTCAGCAATAGCGCTCGATCACATACCATTCCTGTCTAAGCCTGCTATCAGCCATGTCATTAATGTCTCATTTTGTATCAGGCCTTCTCATAAGAGGCATATGGTCGCACGCCTTATATGACTACGCATATAATACTCTCTTTTGACAACTTGGCCACAGATCTTTGCAAGTTTTGACCATTAGCGATTTTAAAAAATACGCCAAAAAAAACAAAGCAAATTTAAATGCAATTGTTAATTTAATTGATTCCATAATTACAATTAAACTGCTGCAAAATTTCCTGAGTTCTTTATTGCAATTTTTTAAAAGGCAATAATTAAAAAAAATATTTAGATTAGAGTTTTAAGCAAAATGAGTACAGAAGCTATCAAAAAATAAATACAAATTGTTTTATTATGGAAAAATAATTTCTAATAAAATTATTAAAAAAAGTAATTACAATAATCTTGAAACAATCGCATCTGCCAACTATTTTTTTACTATCTCAGGGCACGACATATCGTTTTTTTTTAAATGAATGTTGACTTGCATATCTTTATTTTTTGATGAGCGTCTAATTTAAGAGATTTATGTCAAATAAGGGAGTTTTATTTTCAAATATTTTTATTCTAGTTAAGTTATTATAAGTTTTATTCTATAATAATAAGTTTTATTCTAGTTAATAAGTTATACATCAAAAATGCTTGGTAAATTTATTAATTTTTTTTTTTTCAAAAACTTTTTTTTTACACATTTGTAAAGTGCGCGCAAATTAATACTAAATGCACAATAAAAAAAACTTTTTAAAGTATTTTTAATATGCAAACAAACAATGCTTCACTTTAAGGAAAATAAAAAAATGAAAAGAAGCATGCATAATGTTATTTATAATGAATTCATTTGCTTTAAACTTTCAATGTAATTGCTAATTACATAAAAGAAACCATGCTTAAATATTATGATCACTTTCTTCAATAAAAAAAAGCAAAAAAAAATATTTTTAAGCACGGTTTCTTTTGAAGTTTTTGCAAAAGCATTCATTTCAAGTAAAATATTGCATGCTTTTGTGAGCGCATGTAAAAACCATGCTAAAACATAATTACTTTCTTCTATAGTGTACTTGGTTATTTTATTTAAAAGTAACGCTATTGAAAAAGTAATTATGTTTTGGCATTTATTTTTAAAAGTCTATGAAATTAATTGCTTTTTTATTAAATATGTGTTTTTTATAATAAATAAAATCAATTGCAAAATTATTTTGAAAAAAAATTGCTGAAGTAAAAATTTTGAAAAATCTTTATCAAACGCCAAGGTTTTTGCATAAGCAAAATTAAAGAAACGTGTTGTTTGTTTTTCTTTCTGTCTTTTAACAAATGCGCACATGTTTATCGATTTGTCACACTCACTGTATCCTATTAACTTTTTATTAAAATTTAAAATGTGCACCACAAAATTTTATAAAATTTCATTGTTCTTTTAAACAGCCTAAGTTGCTTACGTTTTTAAACATCAATTTCTAAAAAGAAAAAAAAAAGGAAGGGGGGGGGGAGGGAGAGGGGCAAACGCCCACATGACCTTTTCCCTCACTATGGATCCACCTTTATATTAGCCTATTTCTTCATGGGAGGAAAAGGTACAGATTAATAGAACTATGGTAAAAAAATTTTTTTTACTTACACTTACAATTAAGTTTACATAAATTAATGTTTTGATTTTTTTCTCTATTTATTTTATAATGTTTTAAAATTTTTCTTTTTTTAAGTTAATTTTTGTATTATAAATATTTTTAAGGATTTTATTCTCTTTTCAGTTTATGGATTGTTTATTTTAATTTTAATTTGCTTTGTTTTTTTGGCGCATTTTTTAAATGCGCTAATTATCAAAACTTGCTAAGAGCCGTGGTCAAGTTATTAAAACAAAGAACTATGCATATGTGTGTGACTGCACACCTCTTATGCGAAGGCCTGTTGTATGTCAATCAATGTTGCCTGGGTCGTCCAAGTACCATCAGTTATGACAGGAACACAGAGCAGTTTTCCATCTATGAGAATGGCAAGTCTCATTGTCTCTAGGTATAATTTTTTTGTACTAGTGAAGTGTGGCGTACTTTAGTGCAGTGAATGATGCTTTTATATGAAGAGCCGTTTCTGTTAGATTTCCTTCTCTGTTCTTCTAGTACTTGACTTTGACAGTGTCATACTTTTCAAATTAGCGCCACTCTTTGATATAACTGCAGTCATTAATGATATTCTCTGATCAGCTGATTAATTCAACCTATTGGTCATTGCAGATATTTTTGCACTCTTTAATGGGTGTTTTAGAATATGAAGTGTTACCATGTCTTTCTTCTTAGCCACACTTATCAAACTCTTCTCTTTTATAAAACATTCAAATTCTTCATCTTCATCAAAAAAAAAAAAAAAAATTTGTCATGGGTGTTTTGAGATATTGGGCCCCAAAGTTGGTTTATAGAAACATCTGATAAATCAACAGAACTCAGGGTTCCCAACGGTCCTGGAAAGTTCTGGAAAGTCCAGGAATTTGAAAGTGGTCCTGGAAAGTCCTGGATTTTTATTTTGTAAGATACTGGAATAGTCCTGGAAAATGGGATAATATTTTATATTTTGTTGTTTGTTTTAAAGTAAAGAAAACAATACAACAACAATACAATTACAATACAAATTATAGTAAATTATAGTAATATAATTGCTCAAATGTATAATTTTTATGGAAAATCTGATTCTAATATTGTTTTATAAATTTGAGTTTTAAAGATTTTTAAAAAAACTTACACAAAAATAAAGCATAATTAAGTTTTAAAAATATTATTTGAAAGATATCATCATAGTTTCCATAAATCATAAATATATAGACTGTTGATATTTTTTCAATTAGTATTTAGTTATTGCATTGTT